ACACACACACACACACACACACACACCTTCTTTAGTGTTTGTGGTTCACGAGCCATCAGAGAAACCACACGGATGCAGACGGTTTCTCTGACCGCTTGCTGTTGTCGTGTCTTCAGAAAGCGCTGCACGTGCGCGCCCTGCGGCCCTTCAAAGATGCCGGCGGGCGAGAACGTCGCACCGGGGAGGAATGGCTGGTCACCATGGCTGATCGAGAGGCCCACATCCCCTCTGTGGCAGAGGAGGTGGTGGGTGTGGTGGATGTAACCACCCTGAGCAGCAGGCAGTACTGCGTGATCCTGGACCCGGTCGGACCCGACGGGAAACCTCAGCTGGGTCAGAAGAGGGTGGTGAAGGTGAGGCGAAGCTTCAGTCTTGCCGTTTCTAGTTTTGCTGCGTTCGTGTCATTTCCTCAGGCCTGATCGTTTCCCCTCGTCTTCCTCTGTCAGGGCGAGCGCTCGTTTTTCCTGCAGCCTGGGGAGCACCTGGAAAACGGCATCCAGGACGTGTACGTGCTGTCGGAGGAGGAGGGGCTAGTGCTGCGAGCTGTGGAGGCCTTTAACGACACCCAGGAGGTAAGAAGAGAGCAAAACACAGAATCGCTTCATGTTTTGGTTGATTTTCCTAAAATATTCAGAAATTTGCATGACCGCCTAAATCACGGCTGCTTCATGCAAACCTTCGTCGTGTGCTTTCACTGTTAAACCCTTCGGTGAGCTGGATTTGAGCTCTTTCTGCATTTCTCAGGCACTTTCTCCTGAACTCTGCTGTATCTGCTCGCTTCTCTCTGGAGCGTCAGCTGAGCAGAAAGGAGAGACGGGACGAGGCGTTGTCAGATGAAGCTTGGGCCTGCACAGATGTGCTGCGGTTTAAAACCATCTTGTGCAACCGGTCGATCGGAGAGATTAAACAAGCAAACATGATAAGCTCAATAAAGAGGCCATCTCTAACGTGCTGCAGCTCTGTAAAGGCTGGTATGCAGGTGAAAGGCGTGTCTCTGGTCGAAAGGTGAGAACGCCTCGCAGTGCTGAGGGGTGTGGTTGAAAGGTTGGCTTTATCGCAGGTATTTCTAGGAACAGAGTGAACTCTGGTGCAGAGCAGTCATAGAAAGCAGCAGGTCAGGGTGAGGCCGACTGAGCGACCAGTCCTGTGGAAATATTTATTGTGTGCATGTCAGGGACCAAGCAGTAAAGCATAAAGGACACAGGTGGTTTTAATTCAAAAAA